ATATATATATATATATATATATATATATATATATATATATATATATATATATATATATATATATATATATATATATGCTTGTATAAATAAATCTGTCTAAGTCTAAGTATGAATTAGTTTTTTGCTTCCAATTGCTAAGTCCAGTACAATTGCAAATACAGAGTCCATGTAACATACAGCATTTAATTTGGGGGTGTACGAAATAATTGATTCTATCAACTTTAGCGATATTAGATATATTTAGACAATATTTGTTCATCCATCAATTTTCTGACACGCTTACTCCCAAGTGGGGTCACGAGGGGTGCTGGTGCCTATCTCCAGCTGTCTACAGGCAGGGTCCACTCTAGACAGGTCACCAGTCCATTGCAGGGCAACCCAGAGACAAACAGAACAAACAACCATTCACTCAAACCTAAGGAGAATTTCGAGAAGCTAAACAGTCATGTTTTTGGACTGTGGGAGGAAGACCCCAGGCCAGGAATCAAACCTGCAACCTTCTTGCAGCAAGGCAGCAGTGCTACCCACTACGCCACTAAGCAGCCCTCTAATTTTTATGAATTTAAAATTTCAATATTGAAATTTTAAGTTAGTTTTCAGTGATCAATTTGTATTGAAGATAGACTGACAAATCGACAGGCTATTTTTTTTTTTAGCTTTTTTTCATTTGTATCATTGGTTGACATGTGCATTGCCCGATTCTTTAGTGCAGTGGTTCTCAAACTGTGAGGGGCATCCCACAATTTGGGGAGCTCAGTGGAATTGCAGGGGTTGTAGGAGAAATGAATCGAGTAAAAGGCAGGAGTTAGGAGTTTTTTTAACAACATATTTGTTGATAGAAATGATTAATTCTCTTACACAATAGACTGCTGCTAAACTTAATATAATTGCACTTTAAAGGTGACAGTTATAGCTTTTTAAAGTAGATTGCATTATTTAATTTTCTTGCTCTTGACTTTTCTCTGTTCAACAGTGTTGTGATTTTACATTATATATAATTCCTATCCAGGTTGGATACCATATTAATGTTGTGATAACTGTTCTATTCAATTCCCATCTAGCTGGGAATTTAAATTTCTGGTACTGTAAGATGTTTAGTGCCCTCCAAAGTAGGGATGGAAAAAATCTTATTTAATCACATATTAGTTTGTCTGTTATATATTGTTAATGACACACAGTCATAGTAACTGTGTGTTAGAACAATAGATGAAAGAGTGATTCGAGCTCTAATCATGGTCAAACAGTGAATTCTGCACATACATGGAATAAATTCACCACAACTTCTCTTCAAAATATTAGAGTTTATTAACAAAAATCATTCATCCATCCATCCATCCATTATCTTACACGCTTGTCCCAATTGGGGTCGCGAGTGGTGCTGGTGCCTATCTCCAGCAGTCAATGGGCGAGAGGCGGGGTACACCCTGGACAGGTTGCCAGTCCATCGCAGCAAAAATCATTCAGCTCCAAGTCAAACATATTTCAGTTTAAAACTGCTAATTAAAACTAGTGAAATTCAACTAACTAAACTGATATGTACAAAGAGGAATGGGAAACATTGTTGAAAACCATGTTACAGTTTAAGATGGTTCTTTTGTTTGAAAACGAAAGTTTATCTGGAAGAATTTGGGATATGATCAAATTAGCTTTTCACTAATTTAGAGAAATTGGAATGTTTTCAGACCAATTCATAATGCAAATCCATTGGGTGAATAAAACATTATTTGGCCAAATAATGTTTATTGAATGATTTTCTTAATCAGGAACCAATAACCTTTAGTCAAATGATTCTTTACCATATTCGAAATAGCTAGCAGTGAATATACATGAGGATTTCATTAAATTACTTTTGGTCATACTTGGTAATCGAAAATGTAATGAGCATATGAGGAACACATGAAAACTAATGTTATATCAGATATTGGAGAGGTCTTACAGGTGCTTATGAACCAAAATCCCATCTTCTTCTCTGGTCATCATGTCAAGATGAAATATGGGCACTGGTTCCAATTGGTTCCCAATGTCCAAAAACCATGATCAGGGCATGTCGCACAACAACAGCCATGCGTTGAGATTGCAGAAATCCCATCCATTGCTGTCCCCTCCATCTGCTATTCATTGTTAATATTTTGTTTGATTTATTACTAAATGTTTATTTTATGTTTATCTGAAGCTTGTGTAACATTTGCTGTTATCGTGTCATTTTTATCATCTAAAAGGAGGGGGGGGAAAGCAATATCGGCTCTAAGACTGGGACCAAAAATATCAGTAGCAGTTGTCGGGATCGGTTAGGCCGACGTCAGAACATTCGTTACCAGCATTGACCTTACAAAACCTGTACCGGCTGATCTGTTATTGGTTTGGTTTTAAAAAATGTAAAAAAATATTTATAAGCAAACAATAATTTCATGGTCTTACTTTAATATAACTCTTAAACCATTTGGCAGAGTCTATTTTTCAGCTGTTCTGCACCAGCTGCAGCAGAGCCACAGCATGATCTTGTGAGGATTTTTCAAAGATATGTTTAAAGAATCCCAATAAATCGCCTTTGTTAATGTATCAGGATATTTAGCGATAAAATGTATCAGTGACTTGTGATATTTATCGTAATGCAAAATTCTTCTTAATCCACATCCCTAGTTTTAGTATTTGGTCCTGACATGGTCATGAATTACTGAAATAATTAGACATGCTAGGCAATCTATCTCTAGCTCTTCTAAGCAGTTAAAGAAGTCCATTCAAATCAGCCAATAAACCAGCTGTAGATACTTTTTGTGGTTTCGGCAGGTGCCATGTCCTGCTGCAAAATGAAAGCAGCATTTCCATAGAGCCAGTTGAAAGAGGAGACCTTTTTGTTGCGCTACTAGTCATGAGCTTTTCTACCACACTTTTTTCTTTACTCATCTTTACATTTTATGTTTTTAGATAACAAAGCCAAACTCCCCACCTCTTTATTGATCATTTTCTTATCCTACTTGTGGAGGTGCTAAATGACTTTCCTAAGTTAGAAATGTTCCGCATTATTATGAATGTCTGCAATAAATGAATGCAACATTAACATGTGTTATATTTTAGATGGTAAAATGCATTCATATTAATACAAATATTACAGTAAATGTAAATTTAGATTATAAACATCACAATTATAAAATTAAATATCCTGTTATGCCACTGTCACACCTTGACAATTTAGCCAGCGAATGTCGACGCTCCAGAATCTTCCCAAACGCTAGCATACACTGAACTTTCTATGTTGTTTTTTTATCAACTTTGGGCCTAAAAACACATTGAAAATTATTAATTTAATGTAATTTAAGAAAATAAATCTAAATGTAAGAAACAAACGAATATAATTACTTCACTCTATATCTGTATATTAATGTAGAGTGAAATGTATTTTTAGGGGGTCTTCAGTATGTGTCTCTGTTATTACTGGGCTCACAGGCTGAACAGTTTGGGAAGCCCTGGTAAACTTTATGTATAAGGAGCAAAAACCTATTTGGAAAGAAATTCTTTATAATATCATGTCACTGGTTTAGCTGTAAATTATTATCATACAATAATTTACTTTTCTCAAATGAGTTACTAAAATAAATACAATTTTAACAGTTATTTAGGTGCTCCTGTGTGATTTATTTTTAATGTTTACCACATGTTTGTCAAGTTGTTAAAATGTTAAAGAAATTAATTTAAATGGTGATTGTCCTGCTAACTGGGTCTTCAAAATCCTTTGTCTTTATGTTAATCAAAACAATGAAATTTAGAGTTTTTAACTATTTTTAATCAATCGTGTGCTTTTGCTGGCTTGGTTGCTTATGCCTTTGGTCGCTTCTGATTTCCAACAGGTGAGTTTTGAGGATGTGATCGGAGAGCCAGTTTCCACCCACAGTTTCGACAAAGTTTGGATAGGAAGCCACGCCACCTTCGAGCTGGTCAAGTTCTTCTTCTACCGCCTGCTCTCCACTCTGCTGGCTGTGCCCATGGCTTTTATACTCGGGCTCATTTTTGGAGTGCTCAGCTGCGTCCATATCTGGTGAGTTGATGTTTTTCTGCTGAGACTAAAATGGATACGATAGATTTTAGTGTCCAGCCAAAATTCCTAAAGCTGAGATGCATTTGAGGCCAACAGTTAAAATATAAATATTTCATTTATGAATGACGTCGTTTTTTTAAAGCTTTAATTTAAAAAAGCTTTTTTTTTTTGCTTTATTTCTCAGGATGGAATGATTATACAAAATAATATCGTTTAGGATTAGAAACTCTTTTTAGTTCTTTGGAAAAGCAAAAAGATGAATACAATTTTTTACATAATATCCACTTCAGTAATGAAACACCCTCCCTCAAATATAGTTTTTCTACTCTTTATTTGTTTAATTACATCATGGTTACGTAATGTATAATTTGTAGTGTGCAATAAGTCGAAACAGGTGCTTGAAAGTTTACCTAGCATGTCTATGTGCTTACTACCACAGTGCAGCGAATCTATATATAAAGACTTGATGGAACATTTTAAATCCTCATATAAGCACAGAATGGAAACTTTGGAGGAATGCTGAGCTCCACTGGAAGCTCAGGAAAAACTGTCCTGTTTGCTCCACCAGACAGACGGCATTTCAGAAGCAATTAAAGCACTTTTCAGACCAGAGTGGAAACATTCTTTATTTGCACATGGAGCGCTGCAGAGACACTTTTGTATGACCTCTGAGCTAACTGAGGCAAAAGATGAGGAATATGTCAATCCAGGGCATTGGTGTTCATCAGTGTGACCTCTGGTTGGAGGATCACACAGAGAGGGAATGCATCAAAGGAGTCCACAGTTCTCACAACCCCTAAAACATGAAAGAAGCCAAAGAAATCTGTAGGGTACACTAGAGGTCTTTACCCATGAGATCATATGAATAGACCCAAGGTCAGGTCAATGGATCAAAACTGGGTGACAATTGCCTTTTTTACTTCGCAGTAAACACATGACATGATCAAACATCATAAAAAAACTATTTTTTTTAGCTGGAACCTTTTTCCCTAACTTTGCTAGACCTGCAACTTCTGTCGATCTCCATTACTCCTGTAGATTCAGATTTACTGAAAGTGTTTTTCACAGCAATATGGTTCTGGAATTAGCCAGCAAGTCCATTTGACTTTTAATCAGGTTAAGCATGAGATTTCCTGGCATTCAGAGAATCCCATTCAGGAGTTCCTGACTCTAGCGTCTCAAAGACAAAAAGGGAGAAAGTATCAGTCTTGCAGAGTGCTTTATATATAGGGGGAGTATCACTTGTCAGTGTTCTATGTTACAGAACAGATGGTGCACCTTCAGAGTTTGCAAAGGAAATCTACATGGTCACTGGTCCACCAATGTTCAAAATTAATATAATCAATATTATTTTAGGAGGTCGCCATCACCTTTGCTCTTCTGTTATTAAATACGTTTACATACAGGGATTAATAGTTTTAATTGAAAGCCATAGTTATGTTTTTATGGCTCAGATGTTGCCTGGTCAAACAAGGTCTGCATCAAGAGCTGAGAAACCAGGTCACTCTGATGACAAGTGGGCTACTGGACGACTGAAATAAGAAGACAACAGACACGGCAACATAATATGACACTAGAATGCTACTACTCTAGTAACCCTGACCAACATCCATCTATCCATTCATTCAACCCTCTTGCTCCCAATATCTGGGTTCGGGTCTCAAAGGTAGCAGCTTCAGGGATGGAGGCCCAGACGTCCCTCTCGCCAGCTACTTGCCCAGCTCCTCCAGGAGGGAATCCCAAGGCATTTCCAGGACAGCTGAGAAACAGTCCCTCCAGAATGTCCTGGTTCTCCCCCTCAGTCCCCCTACCGGTGACACATCCTAACCAGATGCCCAAATTTGGCAGTTAGAGCAAATTGATTTTTAAACCTTTTATTTAAATTATTATTATAAAAATTATAAATAGCTTTACAGACAGACTGTGTTCCGCCTCTTCAATTCTTCCCCTTAATCTTTGATTAGTTGCCACAAACACACCAACTATTCATCATGATTTTTTACAACCATCTAAAGCGCTTATATTTTCTCATGCCCAGTCCAAACAGACTAGCATCAAAACCCACGCTAAAATTCAAATTCAATCGTTATTTCCTGTATTTATTTTTATTTTGTTAGTTTAATCATGTATAAGAGTTAAAATATATTTTTTTTAGACTGCAGAGACCAAAAGCAAAGGTAAAATGCTTTGCTTGTTTTAAAAATCCTCTGGTTTGGATGGGTTTTGGTAGAAGTTTTTAGGAGCGTGTAAAAACAATCTATGGCGTCCTTCAAATGATTTTCTTGGACTAAAAGTCAGACCGACACCTTTGTTAGTAATATGAATACTGTAGAGCTCACTTTTGAGGTGATCTTGCTATCGGCTGCATTTGTTCTTTAACAATCTCTTGTTGTCCTTATCCCTGCAGGTTGGTGATGCCAGTGATCCAGAGTTGTATGATGCTACTACCCTCAGCGCAGAAAATATGGCAGAGCCTGACGGACATTTTCATAACACCGCTGTTCCACAGCTTTGGAAAATGTTTCTCCTCCATTCAGGTTCAAATATTAGAAAACTGACGTAGTCACCTCTGTGCACCAAGGAAGAAAATACCTTCTTTTGGAGAGAGTGGAGTTTTTGGAAATATAAAAAAAAACTTAAACTTAAGCTCTTATAAAGTAAAATGTAAAGTACAGAAAAAAGTTTTTTTTAAAATGCATGGGAAAAAAGAAGAGGAAGAAAGATATATCGATATTTGGCCTGTTTGTGGCTTTTACTACCTAATTATCCTTTGCATTTATTTGGTTTTATTTTGGTTTATGAAAACTGTTTTTGCCATTTTCTCTGAAGTAGAAAAGTCTTGCTGCATAGCTAGTAAAATATCTATTGGCACAAGATTGTATGATAGTCAGATTCCACAATAAAATGAAGACTGTTGAATTAAGTGCTATCTAGGTGCTGTTATCAGGACACTGTCTGGTGAAGTGTTAGCAATACTCTTATTTTGAAGTTTGAAGGGAACTGGTTTATGAGTTTGGGCCCTTTTGTGCTGATGGTGCTAAATAAGAAAAAAAAGCTTTCTGAGTGTTTGGAGTAAGAAAAGGTGCAAATCTTTAACTGCTTTTAATATAGGTGACATCATTTAATGTTGGTCAGTATTTTGAGACTATCACAGCTGGTTAACTGTCAGCCATTGGCATCGGTTTTACAGTTTACTAAACTGAAGGACCATTTTGTGGTTTTAAAATTCAAAGTGTAAAACTTTTAATCGGATTGACAAATTGATAGTTACAAGCTCGACAGTCCTCAGTGACAGCAGAATCTTGCTCTCTGGTTGCTGGTCTCCAAATAAAAATTGTGCATTTTTTTGTAAATAGACCACACTAAATAGAAACCATGTAAAAACTGTCCTTTTATAGAAACTTTATTTGCAAAATTTGCAAAGATAAATTTTCCCTGCCAATATTGCTAAAATCCCATTTCTGTTCTTGGGAATCAGTGTCTGTTAAATGGTCTCAGCAGCTCTACGTATTGTTATCTATAGTTTAGATTTACCAGAGAGACAAACCAAGCTGGCCAATGTTGTTGATTAATTTTACCAAAGCTGTATCTGTAGATTAACTTGAACTATCTAGTTTAATTAAAGCATAATCCTGCCTCTATATTGCAAATAGTTGTAACTGCTTATGACAGACAGACCAGATGCATCTTAAATGGTCAGCAGAAAATCAACATTGTTGAATTATTTAAATTATTCATGTTTAATATGACCAGGAGCCTATGAGCACCACTCAGAAAGCAGTTATGACCAAAAAAGGATTACGGTATCATTCCGTTTCTGTTCAAGACTTTTTTGTTATCCATGTTATTGAATGGAATATTTCTGCTCTGTGAATTTATATAAGCTGTATATATTGCATACTATTTAACTTATAGTAAAATGTTATGAAAAAAAGGCATTTTAATGCATTAGTTTAGATATTTAAAGCTAGGATGCAGCGTTTTGCACATTTGCAGGGGTATGGCGTGAATTTGGTTCCATTATTGTTGAATACAAAGAAAAGGCTTTGTAAAAGGAAATTTGAAAAAAAAAACTTTGAAGTACATCTTAACCGAAAAAGGTTTTTGTTGTTTCCCCAATTTTTTTAGAATATAATAATATCTTATCTTAATATGTATATATAAAACATTGCTTACTACAATAATGGAATAAAATTCCCTAAATACAGCTGTGTTAACATATCTGTATTGAACTCACATTGCCTTTACTATCATTTTGGGCTTTTACTTATATTCTGAGTTTATTACTGTTATTTATAATGCCATGACTTATAACAGCTCTGGTTAGAAAAGGGTAAATTATCTTTTAAACTCACACACAGGCAGAGCCTCTGTGGGATTATTTTATTTTAATATTTTTGGTTTATACCTAAACTTTGCTCAGAGACTCAGAGAGAAAACATATCATTTAACATTTAACTTTAAAAAAAACAAATTCACCCATAAATGCATTTTGTTGTGTACCTGGAGCCTCTGGTAGTGCCTTAAAGATGAATATAGGCTCTATGAGTGCTGCTTCAATATCTTTATATTGTGTTAGGCTAATATTTATTTTACCCAATCTGTGCCTTTAAATGCATCCAAGTTTGATTTCATTTTCTCTGTTTATGTTTTGTTTTTTTATGCTTGCTTCTCTGCTAAACAGCAAGCTCCTTCTGTTTGTTTGTTGTTGTTATTTTGTGTGTATATTATATGAAGAGGATGGCTGTACAATAACCAAACTGGAAACTAAGATTATGCTAATTGTGGACTCTGTATTGTGATGACAGGTCTGGTATTAATTTTAATCAGTACAAAACCAAACCTGTATGACATCTTTGTAAACTGTTGTGTGAAATCTTGAGTAGAGATGCAATTATCCTTGATCTCGCTAATTGATTAATATCTTAACCTTCATGATTAATTGATTAATAATCTGATAGCATAAGATGCCTAATAGGAGATTTTTACAGAATTTCAAACATGGAAGGTTAAAACAATCCCACTTGATGAGTACGGCATAAAGCATATTTACACACCAACAAAGTTTTCCATCTTGAATGCGAAATTAAAATTATTTATTTTTTAAGATTTTGGCTTTATACTGTAGCTACATCGAATGTGTTCTTTTTGAATTCCACTGTAATGTTTTATATTTTTTATACACCAGATACAGATGCAGAGAGCTCTCCTCACAAAGCATTATGGAATTTGCTGTCATAACGGCCCCGCTGTCGCTAGTATGCTATAGCGGCGCATAATAACAAAGATAGCACAGGCACCACGCAGTGAATGAGGAGTTACGTGACTACCGGGGAATAAAAAGCAGTGATCATCTGTCCAGTCATTTAACTGAGTTCACTATTAAGTCCACTGTATAGTACCCACTCTATATAGTGACTGAGGGATTTAGGGGCTAGGGAGGACTTTCAGAGACAGGGTTGTGCATGTGCACAAAGGGCAGGTCTTTTTAAAAAATTCGCCAAAATCCTCCACAATACCTTTAAGTATCTTAGAAAATTATAATATTTCTTAACACCAATACAAAAACAACGTTTTCTAGCTTAGTTCTGACATCACATCTTCCTCTCCACAATGAGAGTTAAGGTCTGGTGAGTTCGCTGGCCAATTCAGAACAAGATCCTTAAACCAAGTACTGGTAGCTTTGGCATTGTGTGCAGGTGCAAAGTCGTGTTAGAAAAGGAAATTTTCATCATTATAAAGTTGGTCAGCAGCAGGGAGCATAAGATGCTCTAAAACTTCCTGGTGGCGAATAGGTCTTGCTTGAGCTCTGTAAACAGCCAGCCTCTTCCTCGATGACTTTTAGTGGCTTACCTCCCATGTGCAAGGGGTCAGAGGTCATCTTTTGAATAACTGTCAAGTCGCTAACCATCGCCACAATTGTAAAGCCTACAGAACTACACAGAGACCATTTAAAGGCATTTGTAGCTTTTCTAAGTTAATTGATTAGCTGATTAGTATGTCTCCAGGTTCCTTCCACATTGAACCTTTTCACAATATTCTAATTTTCTGAGACACTGAATTTGGGGTTTTTAATAGTTTCCAATTAAAATTCTAAAAATAAAAAAGTAAGACACACTTGAAAAATATCAATGAGTATAAGATACAAGTTTCATTATTTTATTGGAATCACTGAAAAAATCAAATTTTTCTTGGGTTCAGTAACGCAGTGTTTTTCAACTCTGGTTCTCAAGGCATACTGCCCTGCATATTTTGGATGTTTCTCAGCTTCAACACACCTGATTTAGATGATTGCTGTTCAGCAACGCCGGATAATATACCATCAATTGATAGCAGGTGTGTGAAAGCTGGGAAACATCTAAAACATGCAGGGCAGTGTGCCTTGAGTACCAGGGTTGAAAAAGACTGCTCTAACGCATCTCTACTCGTGTTTTCTGTCAGAAACACCATCCTAATAGATGTGCCGACCTTTGGCCCCCACCAAGGCACCCCCATCTCTCCCAGAGGCTAAGCTAATGAGAAGCAAATTTAGCAAGTTAGCTGATTTGGGGTTTGTTCGGCTCATTTTTTTTTTTTTTTTTTACAGATGGCTTGCAGGTCACAGAGTTAACTGAATACAGTTAAAAACCAACTTTTACGGTATTCAGGGAGGATTTTCAAATTCAAGCTCATGTTATTAATTTTACCTGTACTGGATACTAGATGAGATTATGTTTGGCTCTAATCTTTGAGTTTAGGTGTTCAGTTATCATAGATGTATCTCAAACTCATGGTCTGGATGGCATTGCAAATTATTCGGCCTCCAAGAGCCACACAAGGCATAAAATAGAAAAATTTGTCCTTTTTAGGTTTACAAAGTGGCTAAAACTGCTAAATACATAGGGATATGGCTATCATTCCAGAGTGGTGTGCTCTTTAAGCTCCGTTTAAAGACTTGATGATGCTGAAGTGATCTGATATAAAAATTAGATACTTATTGGCAGGGTTCTACAATCATGTGATGTTTCTTTCTCCACCAAGAGATCAGGAAAATATTTGGTTTTCTTTTAAATATGTGTTTTATGACATTATTTTCTCACTAAATGGACCTCACCTTGTAATCCAGATTATCTGTAAATGACCCTAAAAATAAAGATTTTTTTCTTGCCCCTTGAGGAAATTATCCTGTGTGTGGTTTGTTTTTTTTGTCATAAGAGATGAATGTGGTTGAGTTATGCAGCTTAGTGCCAGAAAGTTCTCATAAATCTTTTTGTTGATATTGCCTAAGACCTTTTCCTCAACAAAATATGAACTGTAGGTAAATGGAACGACGCCCGAGGCTCTACCGTCAGACCTGCAGGTCTGCACAAAGCTTTCACTCTGGCTTGCTGTGTGAGCTTGTACTCAGCTGAAGGGGTTTGATGTAAACTACCGCCAATATAAAAAACATCTCCCATTAGCTTCCTTCATTATCAGCTTGGAGTCAATGTCATTTGTGTATTATTTACTTCATGACTCTTCATGGTTACAACAACAGCTGGGTAAGGTACAAAATGTGCTGTCTAAGTGAGGATAACTGTAGGTAAACAACTCAAACAATGTGAAAACTGCATACCAACAATAACTGTCTTGAGTTTTGGAATAAAAAAAAAACTGATCACCCTAACAGCTTTAATGTTTTCTCCAACTCTGATCCTTTTGCACATTTTAGGATCCCAAATACAAGCAACATTGGGCTACATTGCCACTGCAGTCATGTTAGCAGGTGCTTTTTGGAAAATACATTAAACTGTCTGGATACAAAGACACAGATGGGGGGCAGGGGTATTATCAACACATAGACCAAGATTTACAACTTTATCATGGTGGGATCCATGTTCATCATTTAATTAATTTCCTCTTAACTCCAACGGCAAAAGACTTGAATCAAATTCAAGCAACACAGAGTTTTTTGTCTGGATCTTTTCTTTGTGATGTTAAGGATTCTTAGAAGTTTCAAACCTGTTGCACCAGGATAACTAACTATTTCTAACCATGGCTGCGGTCAAATCAGCAACTGACGACAGAACACACGACTATATGTGTTTGCGACCTAATCGAGGCAATGTCATGATAAAGAAGTCTCTCCTTAATAAACAGCTGCTTACCCTAGAACCTAAGAACAGTCAGCTTTTTAAGAACCTGTTTTGTCAGTGTTCTGAGTGACATTTTTGTCTTCAGTCATAAACTAAAACTGCTGTGACTGAAAGTTCCCAGAGTATCAATAGAAATCGCTCTCCTGATGCTCTAGGGGACAGATGCCTGGGGAGATTTAGCACATGCTGCAACACAGTTTTCGCAAAGTTTTTGCATCTTAATGTGCACAGCAAACCGTCAGCATTTGATAAAGAGAGCCTTAAATGAAGCAGTTGTTCATGTAATATGAAATTGAGCTGTAAACCTCTAATTATACGGTATCACTTGACAGATATACTGGATGTTCCTTCAGGGGGGGGGCTTGTGAGGCCCTGGGAGGGGGGGCTCTCAAAGACGGGGTTTGAACAGGTGTGCATCAGGTTGTTTTTTTGATCTGTTTTGAGCCACACCCAATACAGGGGAAAAAGGTGAGATCATTCTCCCTCTGAATTCTGTCCGAAGACAATTAAAGATGAATAAATCAGACTGTATTACCTGGAATCTTTCTTTTTACAATAAGTTTAACCGTAAAACAATTTGCCCTTACAAGGACAAAACTTAGCTGGTTTCAAATTTCTGAACTTCATCAAAAATGAAACAAAACGTAAGAGTTTTGGTCCAACTGAAGGGGACATTGCTTCTCCTGATCCATGTCCCCTAAATCATGCATTAATGATCTTTGGGTGATCATTAGTGATTTGAAATGTACTTTGGAAAAACAGATTGGCTCAGTATTAAAATAATCAGTTTTTTTAAACTTTGTCTTTTACCCGAAATGAAAGCAAAATGATCTCGCCCATAGACAGCTGGAGATAGGCACCAGCACCCCTCGCCACCCCACTTGGGATTAAGCTTGTAAGAAAATGGATGGATGAAAGCAAAATGAAGTGTTGAGTCATTAACTTTAAACTACGTATAAACTTGAATGGTGTCACATTATTAATTTATGCAGTTTTATGATGATTGATTTATGTTTTGCAGCTATAACTGCTCTAACCCCTTAGGGGAAGATTGTATTCTTTCTAGTTTTGTGGCACGAATAGCCTTTTTTTGAAGGTAGACAGACAGCCATGATATTAACTTTAAACATGGCTGGAACAAAATGCTTGCTCTCCTCCAAAAACTGCTGAATCACTCTCTCTCCAAAACACTCTACACGACCATAGGGGTATGTGATCATTTTCCCCACCATGCTTGAGGACAAAAGAAACTGATTGTTCTTTCTCTTTGCCCATGGAATTCCAGAGAGAGACCATGTTGGGGAAGAACTTCTGAATAAAAAAATACTTTCAAAAATACAGAAACTCAAAGTATCACTTTAATGCTGTAAATAATTAAATTGTATTAGCACATGTTTCCACGCCAGGATTTGAATGCAAGACTGCCACATCAAGGACTAATACCTCTACACATGGGCGCACGCTACCCTTCCCCAACGCCGGAAACATGGCTGTTTACTGGTGGGTTTCACCATTCTACTAGAAGCCCATCTGTGAGGTCACACTCTGATGATGGATGAGAAAGCTTGGCTTGCAGTCTTCAGTCATATCCATCCAAATGTGAGCTATATTCAGAGTGTACTGACAGACACAGGATGAAATTGAGTCATAAAAAGGAAGCTTCTTTTTAGAGCAATACATCAACACACAACAAAACTAACAATCTGGAGGTTAAGTTAGACGAGTACTGGAAATATAATGCATGGTTTTACTTTACAATAATCTGCAGCTGAATGCTAAATGTATTTTCTTAAACTCTAGTAATTGAAGGTCTTGTCTAAGAATCTTCAACAATTGGTCAACTTTTAGACAACAGCTATAGATCGGCTTTTGTCTAAAATCAGACAAAAGCTGTTAATGCACAAGGTTCACAACCATTGCTGTTATTGTCCTCCAGACTAGTCACATGGGAGTGGTAATGAAGTTCTCCCAGGAATTAGCCACAGTTGTCATTCTGGCCAAGCTTTCAATCTCAATGATAAGGTGAGGCTATTGTGGCAACAAGTTAGGCAAGCCTCACTGTGGCTCTGTACCAGAGTGTCTCACCTTTGTAGAGGATTTGTGTCTTTACACATCCTAATATCAGCTGCTTTTTAGGGGCTGCTCTTCCTGTTAAAATGGAGTTTGCCTCTCCACTGTCTCTGCATGCATGCTTGATGTGAGCGATTGATGTAGAGTGAAAGACATATGCAAACACATGTTGTTTATGTGGATATTGTTGCCACGTGCTCATTCAGGAGGAGCAAAGCGTACAAAGTCGGTGGCTTGATGCAATCAGCTGGTTTTCCTTAGATAAAATACATTTAACCAATCAGACTGTTTGATCTGTAGAATTGTCCATTTAAAGTGCTTTGAGATGACCTGTGTTGTAAAGTGGCTCTCTATAAACTAAATTGAAGTAAACTTAATCTGAATCCTCCAATCAGTTAAACTATGTTTTGTTGATACCAAAGTTTCTTTGTACAATCTTAACAGGTGTTATTACAGTTGGAATAGATAAATGGGAGGTTTTCCTAAAGGCTTTTAGACCATCTTTTAGAAAACTACTTAAAACTTAAAATTACCTCATATCTAAATTAAATGTTAAATGTGCATTGGAAGGGATAGGTCACATCTTTAAGGACATAGCTGTGAATTACTGCCATTTTTATGCACAAGACCCACATGCTAACAATGTTTGCACAATTTTTTTTAATTATACAGCCCTATAGGAACCCTAAGTTACAATTCCACTTCAAATAAAAATGACTGACTAAAAAGACATTTGATTTTCTTCAGTTTTCTGATGTAATTGAAACTAAATTTTTGAAACCAGATCTCTGAAATCTATGAAAGCTTCCATGTTGCTCTGCATTATCATCCAGCCTGCTTCTCAGCATTACACACACACACACCTACACGCCCACACGGCCTGTCTGTTTGAGTGTACCAGCTGTTGCACCTCTGAAATATGCTGATAAGAATGTTACCAGACCAGAGGAGTCAAAACAGCAGCTTCCAAGCTCTATAAACGCAACCCAGCAACTAGAATCCCCTTCAGGGGGAATGTGGCCACTGAAACCAAGAGTCTGTGTATGTCAGGGGGTATTTCATTCATTTATCCATTTTTGTCTGTCTGTCCTTCCTAGTGTAGTTGGCTTCCACGCCTAAATCCTTCCAGTAAACACCCATATTTCTCCAAACAATTAAGTTATTATGATTTCAGCTTTCCCCTGAATATAGCCGCTCTCTGCCTGTATGCAGCAGCAGCGCAGGCTACAGGTGGCTGTTGGGCAGCGGGGACGCGCTCCGATCTGACACAGAAAAAAAAAAGAGAAAAGAAAATCACCCTACAGGATTCCCTCAGCGCCCTGGCATTACAACCCAGACCCTCTCAAAGTGGAAGGCAGGAGTTTTCTCTCCCGATCCCCCCGGTTTGCCTCACGCCTCCCACTCCACTTCCTATATTGTCACGTTCTGTTTGAACACGAGGATCTGTTCGGAGCAGAATGACAGGAGAGTTGAAGGACGGCGAGACGGAGGAGGTACAGTATGACTTCAATCCTCTTTTATTCTCCTGTAGATGTTTGCTGCTGACTTTTATCTTTGGTCATTTGGAAGAAGAGCTTCTGATCATTTGCATCTAAGAGACATTTTCATCTGAACTCCGAGCGCTCTCAGCTGTGCCACATTTACCTGCGCGCCTATCTGCTTTCGCAGAATAATAATAAGCTCCTCTGCGCATACATTAAAACACCGATGCGACTTTTCTACTGGCTGTCACGCTCATCCAGAGACGTAATGTATTTTTACGCAAATAACTCGGAATGGATTTAAAGTTCCCCAGAAATCATCCCCACTGAGGAATTCAATCACCCTGTTTTAGAGTAATCAAAAAAAAAAAAAAGTAAAGGTAAAACGATTCGACTTATTTTTTTATGTCGGATAATGGAATTTAGCCTAACAGGTTGACCATAGAGAAGTAAAGAAGAGTTTTACGCACAGCTTTTAAACAAAACGACGGCGGAAATGAACATATTTTATTATATTTACATGACAAAATCCTCAGAATAAATTAATTTACGCAGGTATTTTCTCAGAATATAATAAAAAGAAGGCTACATACAGCACAAATACGCGCTTTTACGCATTTTCAGAAGAACGTCTCCATGCATAGCCTCCGTTTAAGCCCATATGGAGGGCTAAATGTGCCCCAATTTAAAAAAAAATAGACACTTCATAAATAATCATGTATCAAATTCTTTCAATAAAATCATATATGATTATCCTACAATAAATAATCAAAAAAAATTTTTTTATTTCTATTGCTGCTAATTGTACTTAAGCAAATTACAATAATTGAAGTTGAAGTTAAAAGCCTTTATTGTCATTGTACACAATACAATGAGATTTGGAGAGCAGTTCTGTAAAATTCTGGTTAACCCTTTGATATATTTTAGGTAGCACTGGAAAATAGTTCTTTTTGTAAGTAAAGCACACCAGTCAATTGCATTTACTTTCACTTCTTCCCTTACAGTACATCTCTGAGGCACCATACTGTTTTTTTTTCTGTGCCTCCTGATGCCAACATTCTTGACACACCCTTGAAATACCCAAATGACTTATCTTGAATAGAATCTCTTTTTAAATGGCTCTTGATAATTAAAATTGGAAATGATTAGTTTTATAAACAATAAATAATCAGAAGTGTAATCAATAAGAAAAAAAAATCACAAGAGCATTTATTTAGATAGCAACGCCTCTGGCTATATTGGGTAGAAGTTGGCATGATTAAAAATCATCTATATGAAATTGGTTAACCAAATTAACCAATCAGATGTCAGTTATGGAGCACAGTAGCTCAGGAAATACAAAATTAAATTTAAAAAATATGTTCAAATGGTGTTGAACTGTGTTGACAAATTTATATTTTAAATGAATTTATATGTTAAATGTTTATTTTCACATTTATTTCTTTATGGATTGAGGAATTTACTTTTAAATGCATAGTGTAGGTATACTTTTTATAAAGCCTTTATGTATTTTCTATGTTGTTGTATTTGATGGCACCTTTGGACCTCCATTCAGGTTAGGATATAATGTTATTGGTATGTGGGTGGTGAGGACCCCTTGCGGCTGAACGCAGGGGTGTGGTGCTTCCCTCGCTGCTCATTCTAAACCCATCCCTGTTTGTGGGGCAGGCTGGTAACTCAGCTCCAGTCTCACTGGCTTCTCAGTGCGCTGCGCACCGTTCCCGCACCTCACCACGCTCCTCTCTCTCTCTCTCCTTTTTTTTTAATCCCTACCTCTACTGTGATCCTCTCAGGAGTTTCTACATTCGTTCATCCGAAAACAAGGGAACATTTACAAGCCAAACAACAAAGACATGGAGAACGAGAGTCTGAACGAGAAGGCGATGGAGGACGTCCACACCAAAGAGATCGACCTGGTCAACAGGGACCCAAAGCGCATCAACGACGACGTTGTCAAGGTGAGTCACTGTGATTCTGCTCAGCTTTATCTTTAAAGTTAAAGGTGTAACTATTATATGTAATGTCGCTGCAAATTTCATTTCACGGGAGACCTGTTGCAGAGATATCCCAGGTGTTTTGTTGGAGCCAGTTCCTGTCATTTTAATTTATTTCCTCTGAACCAATGTGGTGCGCCCCAGGAGCTCAGAGCCGCCTTTCCAGCAGGGCTTTTCCCCTATTAGGAAGCAGCTTTCCCATTGCAGTAAAACTCATTAAGGTGATGTGGTGCCGTGCCGACCTCAGAGCGGCTGCTTTCAGGCTCAGACAATCACCGTCTCCGCTCTAAGAGAGGAAATATTACGAATTTCCTGTTGTTGGAACACGCGTTTCCCACAGCAGCTGCTGCGCGCGCCTTTCTGTTGGGAAAATCAAGTTCTTTCCATAAGAGGAGCAGCCTGGAAGCAGCCGCGCAAACACAAGGAGTTTATTTGGTTTAAAGAGGAGCGGCAGTGCTGGGAGCCACCTGACGCGCCTGTGGGAGCGCCCCCCGCCCCTCAAGCAGGCGCCCGTTTCTCCAGCTGGGTCAGGTTTTTACATCAGAGTGGGGTCAGGCAGCTCTCCACGTGGAGCAGCAGAGGTCAGCTCTGAAATGCCTGAACGGGGAAACACCCAAGTAGCTGGTTGGTGTGGGGGGGATCCCTCACCACACCCATCCATCCTGTCTTTCCTCCCTCTTAGGGAGCCTCCGAAAAGATTTGTAACTTGTAGGCTGTTTAAAATCTTCAGGTGGAAAATCATTTTAGGGGTTTCATTTAGTTAAAAATGGATTTTATTAAAATGAACTTTATCCAGTCAAACTATGAATACTTTTCCAGAATACTTTTCAGTCAAAAAAACAAAACAAAAACAAATTTAATCTTCAAATTACAATAATCTGTAAAAACAAGAAACATAACTGGGTTAGCAAACTTTAAAATAAAGTGAAGCCTCTTCCTGCTCCAAGACTAAATTCCTTAAGCTGGACATTGCTACTTAAAAAAAAAAAAACTTATGAAGTGCTACCATATTAGGAGTGTATTTGAAAACATTGGTATTGATTCAAAATACAGGTCAATGATATTAAATATAAAAAAATATTTATAGGCAAACACGTTTCATTTACTTTATATAACTCCTAAACCTCCAGCCACTAGGTGGCACTGCACCACCCTATATTATTATTATCTATGTCAGCTAAATTATTATCAAAATTGCAATATATTGTCTTTGTTAATATATCTGATTAAGATGTATCATGATACTATCGTATCGCCAAATTCTTGCCAATTCGCAACTCTAATAGATGTTATGAATATGCACCAATAAGCTAAGCAGTTGTTGTTTTTCCGTTGCAAACATAAGATATAACAATGTTATACACGTTTCTATAAAGTGTATTTATTTCTCAAAGTTCTCTCGTATGATGAGACTTTTATCCCAACTTAGGTCTAATAGTTTGCTTTAAAAAAAAAAAAGATTCTGTACTGGAGCAGCTCCCATCTACTTTTCTTTATAAAATGGTCAAGCTTCTGTTTTATATCAACCTCTCCAGGGTGGTTAGTTTCTCATGAGACCTGTGAAGAAACCCATCTTGGATTAAAAAGCTGGAGGGTAAAAGCTCCCACATCTGGCGAATTGAAAAGCGATAAGCTTGTGAGCTGCAAGAAAATGTTTTCAATCGATCCAGATTCAGATTAGATGTTCAAAGGGCTTCGTTGTGTGGCTTCATCACGTGTGAAATGCTCTTTTTACACAAGCTGTCATAAATTTATGATTGTAGGCAACATCACTCCCATGTGACTCACAGCTTCACACGAAATGAGCTTGTTTAAAAGTCCTGTTTGTCTTTATAAGAGCGAACAGTAGCGTTTTGTACACTGTTACATATAAAAAGAAAGAATCACTTTGCAAGAGTCGGTTCCTGGAGAAGCTTTTTCTCCTCTTCTGTCTTCCCTTCCCTTCTTCCAGTGCTCTGTCCTCCCCCCACCACCACCACAGCCTCCCCTCCATTGTGACAGTGAGTCAGACTCTCCCTCCAGTCTGGAAATAGAAAGCAGCTTGATTCCACCCCCTTGTCTAAGCAACTCACTTGGTGAAATTTATGGAAAGTCTACAGAAAATATTTCAAATTTCATTGCTTGACTTATTTACAGATATGTAAACACAGAGTTAAGGCATTTTCTAAGTGCTGTCCCAAGTTATTTCCTTTTTTATGGTAGCTCTAGGGTAGAGTAACGTCGTGGTTAGGCTCTGCTGAGTGGAAGGGTATGTTGGAAGTGCAGCAGGAAAATGAATGAGCAGGGAATCCCTTCCATCATACCACACACACAGATGATCTCAGAGCACTGGAGCACTCAGACATACACGGGCAGCGCTCTCATGTCTTAAAATTACACATTGTTCTCTGTGTGGGCACAGCAGCAGCTTGCCTCAATCACCTGGCCACATCAAACAGCTTGGCCTCATATGCACTTTAAGCATTTTTCCCCCTTTCTTTTGCTCTGGAGAAGCTGTGGGTCTTTTTATAGCAAGCAGGAGGGGCTTAAGATCTGCAGAGTGGAACACATCCACTGGAGAAAACTTTTTAAGATGGAGCTGTGAGAGGCCAGATATTCAGCAAGAGGCTGGAAGTCCACAAGGTTGCACTAAAACGAGTGAGAGGGGTCATTTGCGCCAACGTGTAAAAACTCTCTGTCTTCTGTTCTAAAGGCATCTTGGGTTAAAAAAAAAAAAAAATGAAAGGATCAAAAAGTTTTTCACCAAGGCTTTGGGGATGCTTTTAGGTGTCCCAGAGTCCGGGTTTTGGAGCGGATACTGGTGTGAACCCAATCCAGGTCCAATAAAATGACCCTTAGAACTATATCCTTGCACATTAGAGATACCAGTCATTTCATGGTTTATGTCAGTCCTGGAGAGGTTCACTTTCAGTGTTAATGTCCATTCATCAGGCCTACAAAAAAAAAAAGGAAAAGAGGATGTGACATAAGAGCAGTTTAATGGAGTTGATGTAGAAAAGTCAGAGGAAAAACAAGTAGGAGCTCCAATCTTAATAAGAACTACGCAATACTCGCTCTGTGTCCTCTTTAGGTCTGACATAAAAATTCTGGCAAATGGAGGGCAGAATATTTGGGTCTGACTCCATCAAACGGCACGCTCAACTTAACAAGCATTGTACATGTATGACTCCATTCATTGATTTTGTTATATCTTTATATCCCTAATTCACGACACATGTCATCTCAGGAGACTTTACAGAGACAATTCAATGAAAGGCACAATTGTTAAGTTTCCTTGCTAAGGAAAGCCAGCTGATTGCAGAATTCCCTCCACTCGGATGAGTATGTAAGCCACAGTAGACAGTCGTTTGCATTGTTTTGCATTGTCCTTGCAGCACTCTCTCACACCAAGCATGCATGTAGCAACAGTGGAGAGTAAAAACTTCCCTTTTACTGGAAGAAAGCAGTGTGGCCTTAGAAGACGGAGCAGGGAAAAAAAGAGAACTGATGTATTTATACTTTCTATGTTAGAAAATGTAACACTAAACCAAGTTCTTAGGTGGCTCTGTCTCTGAGCTTAACAGAAGCTTAACAGAAGAACTCTGGGTTGGTTTTCATGTTAAGAGAATGACATAGACATACACTTAGCTGCAGTAGAAGCTCTGCCAACAGCTATGTCTAGGGACAGACTGGGATAAACATTGAAGAACAAGGCCAACTGTATCCTATCATGAAGTTGTTGAGTAGCTAGGCCAGTACCCCTCCTCCCAGGAAGTTGCCACAGCTAAACAAATCATCTGGCCATATTTAGTTACGTTGAGGATTAAGACACATAGAGTAATCAGAACTTTAAAAGTTGAAATGACAGCAACAATAAAGCAAAATTAAGGAATAGAAGTAGAATGATGCAGAATAAGAGAAAATTACCCCCTGTGTCCTCCAGCAGTCTAAGCCTATAGCAGCTTAACTATAGAGATAGCACTGGATAACCTGAGCCTCTAACTATAAGTTTTATCAAAAGGGAAAGTTTTAGGTCTAGCCTTAAAAGCAGACAGGGTGTCTGCCTCATTGATTAAAACTGGTTCCACAGGAGAGGGGCCTGATAACTAAAAGATCTGCCTGCAGTCTACCTTTAGAAATACTATGAAGCAGTAGTAAACCTGCAGATTTAGCAAAGTGTTGTATAAGAATCATAAAGAACTAGAAAAGCACTCTGAGAGCTGGCCTATATTTTTACTTAGAGTTAAAACTCACACATTTTCTGTATCATTACAAAATTTTAATGCATTGTTCTTTGACATTAGGTGCCCCTTTGGTAAACATGTCCTTCAAATCCTTTCATAAGTTCAAAAGTAAGGCACAGTGTGTGTCTGCAGCCTCTGGTGTCTCTTCTGCTCATTTTCTTCATTCACCCTTCACTCTGCTGTCTTCTTTGATCAGCAGATTACGACTTTGAGTGAGGCATGACTCCAATTTCTTGTGATTTCATATTTTTGGTCTTCAGTATAATTCTTCTTACGCTACATTCAGACCGAATGTGATAGAAGCAGCAAAAAAGCGGCTGCTGCTTAATTTTTGATGCTTGTAAACATTAAGGTCCAATGCACCGCAAAAACATCTTTGATGCTCCTGAAGCGTATCCAGGAAAGTGTGTACAGATGCATCTGTTGCTTATGCTGCTCCTGTTTTCCATGGCAGAGCGTGGTTTTGCTATATTTTCTGTAAAGTCGGTAAAATGTAGTTTTAATACGTTTTTAAGTGAGAAAGCTCACCTCAAAACATCATCTGTGCAGTCAGTTCATCTAGATTATGATCCTGCTTTGCAATATTATCATGCTGTGGGACCAGTGATGTCATTTGAAATTCCCAGCAGCAGCTGCCTCTGGCCCGGTCACCTCTAGGGGGTTTTCCACTATTGTTTGTGGAGGCTGTAAGGAGATGTTAGAGGTTTTTATATACGTAATCCAAACTGCACACAACAGAAT